CCCCCCCCCACTTGACAGCCCACTGACAGTGCTGGATTTATGCACCAATTTATCAGCTCCAGTCTGCAATGCGCAGCCTGCGGCAGTTAAAACCACTGTACGACGAGTACGCGGTTATTATGACTGACAATGATGATGCTGATGGGTTTGGGGGAACGGACAATGTGTACGTGGGCTGGATTACAACCAAGGTAGCCAGATCTAGGAGGTCGTCTATTACAGCTGACAATGATGATGCTGATGGGTTTGGGGGAACGGACAATGTGTACGTGGGCTGGATTACAACCAAGGTAGCCAGATCTAGACAGGAGGTCGTCTAGAGTCCTCAACCAAGGCCTTTGACTCAAAAGCTCGACCGGAAAGCAGAGGTATTTGTCGGGAAATGCAGGTGCGTTACCCCTTTTATAGAACAGGTCGCCAAACTTGTTGCAACCCCTAACACAGAGGGCTAGGAGACTGTTTTGCCCAGACCTCTAACTATTGACCAATTCGGTAAGAGACTGTGCAAGTGTCGCACGGACACCCCGTAGTATACCTGAATGGGTTACGGGGCACACTGTAGGTTCCTGTCTCTTTGTGAAGCAGATAGAGCAACGAATGTTGCTTGGTGAAATGTTGTGTGCAAGCGCTTGAACAGCGTATTTTGGGTTGCTTGGAAACTCACACACTAAGGGCCGTCCTAAAAATAGGGGAAGGTTTGGAAAGCTGTTAGGAAGTACCAGATTAGACCTCATTGTTGGTTAGTTTTTTTGGAGGCAAGAGTGAGATACCTGTAGCTGGAATCTAACAAAATGTGATCGTGACATACGACACAAGGGGGAGCAAGAAGATGGGAGTTGCCGGCAGTACACTGCAACCCAGCGAGTGACACAGTGGTGTTTAGCGTGGTTCAACTTTTAAGGTACAGGTCGCTACACATGTGCAGACCTCAGCATGGAGGGTCGGGGGTTTGTCAGTGTGATTGACTCTTATGATAATATTTTGGAATGTGACGGAATGCCTAATGAGTGAGGAAAACGGTGGAACAAGGATAAAAGTCACACTCGACAATGTTTGGATGCTTTTCAATCTACTCCTATAACAGGCCTCGAAAAACCCTCAATAAGTTAATCGATCAACCACCCGAGCACAGAGAGTTGTCTGGATTATTGAGCGGAATAGTGTGCACAACACTTCAAATAATTATCTCTCGTTGTTCGGTTGGATTACTGACTCTTGGAAGAATTCTCAACTATCAATTTTGAACGTCCGGTGGCTTTCAGGATGTATTTTCTGGCACGGGTGCCGTCGGGTTACCGTCAGTTAAGTGTTGGGTATAAATATACGAAAAACGTTCCAAAAGCTTTCTCATACTCAGTGTTTTCCTCTGATCCTGTTTAATTTTATCACTGGTCAAGCGCTAAAACGGGCATAGTATCTTCTTCAGAACCCAGGTTTTCTAATTACTGTAGACGCAACCCTCATCCGTCTGAACTACGTGGATGGTCTTTCTCGTTTTTGAATAAAGGAATAAACGTCTATTAAAAAGCTGATTACACTCATTCAATCTTTTGTTGTGATCTTTACACCCGAAAAATTGGAATCGTGCTTCAATGTGACCAATTCAGGGATAGATGCTGAATGATATGTAGCGCTTCACTTATTTCCGAATTTCCATTCCACCCTCAGGTGTGACGTATGAGGTCAGCAACTCAGACTGGAATTGCTTTAGCCAATTCAACCGTTTGTGGTATCCAAAAGGTACATTTCATCCCAAGCATGTTGTGCCGGACCATAGAGTGCACTGTATTCTTGCATGCCTAGAAGGTGGAGATTTGAGGCGCCTTGACGCTTTTGACAATCCACTGGTCCCGATACGTGAGTGTATGGAGTATTGGATAGGATAAAGCTGTAATACACCAGGCGCCTCCCTAGCTCTCAATAAGCCTATGTTTGCTTATGAACCGCTCACAAGTAAGCAGTTCTTCACAGTCAGGAACAGTTCTTCCAGGGCGTTGGGTCCTGACTTGACCAGCTGATCAGTCGTTCGGCGATGAATTCGTATCAGACTGTGACTAGCCTACGGTGGGACGCCATATAATCAGTGATTATCTACCAGAAATCTTCCAGAACTTAAATCTCGTTTTCTTAATGAAGCATTTAAAATTGTGAAACCAGTGTTAAGGAAGTAATCGAGAGACGTCCTGTTGAACGTGTTCCGTATTCTTCGTACTACGCATGTCTGCGCTCTCACGCTTGGAACCCTTGATTGCCCTATCTGCCTTGCTGCGTCGCAACGATCTGCCGCAGTAACATTCTGGTTACGGGGAATCGGCGCCTCTATTCACCATAAAACCTTCCTGATTCTTTGTGTACATGTAATCCTATTTCCAGATTGCAAGCAGATTCCGATTGCTTCCTGTTGATTTCTTAGACTCTTCACCTCAGTTAACGATGAGTTTTTTTTATTCCAGCTCATTCACTCCCGGGGTTTTCTGTGGGTTTCCCATATCCACTCAGGAACATGCTTTCTGCTGCTCTGTCGACTCTTTCCCTCAGTACTCAAGATGGCTTAATTTTTTGCGCAATAAAGTAATGAATCGAATCTCCTGTAGCATTCACCTTTGTTTTAGTCCACAGGACTCCATCATTCATACGACATACAACCTATACAAGTAATTATCTGTTTAATTCTCATACCACTTCAGGTTTTCTGACATGTCATGTTCCGATGTGGTCACTTTCTGTTTTTCCCCCACCAGAAAGTATTTGGCTGTGGCAGATAGTACGAAGAAGCTATTTTTGTACAACTTTGCAGACAATGTCTGCGTAAAAATCGCTGACAAGTACGACCTAGTTTGCATTGTCACTTCTCTAGGGAAATCCCACGTTGTGCTGCTTGTGTGACATTCACTCAGGATGAACAGTTTATTGTCCTTGGAGAGAAGTCCGGAAATGTGTACAAATTATCCATTCCGGATCTGACAACCGGAATTAATCGGCCTAGTTTGGATCTGATGCTTGGACACTTGTCGATGCTGTCGGACATTGTAAGTCAACTATGAACGTCATGGTTCGTAGAGGCGAGATGGCTCAAGTGGTTAGAGCGCGAACTTACTGACCGGAAGATCCATGGTTCGAATCCGACCTATGCCTCTCGACTCCCCCTGTCTAAGCTCTGGCAACCTTGTGGTATCCCAGCCCTCGTGCTTCCCCCGGGGGGAATGGCAGTTAGGAACAGAAAGGGTGTTAAAGCTGAACAACTTTTTCATGGCTCTTAGGATACCACATAGTGCTAAATTTTAAGACCCCTCCTCGTTCTTTGTCGCAGTTTTGATAACTGATTTGTGTTATGTTATTCAATGTTGGCAATGGCTTCAAAAGCATTCCGTTAGCGAAGGGATGTCGTTGTTGCATGGGTAGATGAGTATTCATCCCTACCATGAACAATTTCACACACTCCACTGACCGTATGCTGCTAAGCCGTGTTTGGTAAGCTCCGAAATGTGTGATACCAATGGTGACCTGGGAGACACGTAGTTTTCTGCACATTTACTTTTCGTGTCTGGACACTTCCTGACAATATGGAACTGTATAGTGTGTGAAACTGCGTGGTGTACGAATTCAGTGTCTTGTTTCAGAAATGCCGCACTCATTGGCGCGTTCGGTCTCATCCGAGTACTTGAACCCCGTCATTAATTACATAAATCGTCCAGCTATAGCACTCAGTGCCTAACTGCCATGCCACCCGAAAGAAGCACGAGAGCTGGGATATTGACAAGTTGCTCAAGCCGAAGTCGAGGGTCATAATTCGCGTTCGAACAATGAACCTTCCGCTTAGTAAATTCGCGTTCTTACCACTGAGCCTGCTCGCCCCCTTACATAGACCTATGGTATTCATTGTTCTTCACTGAGGACTGATTTCGTTTCTGTGGGTCGACAACTCATCTGTGTGCCTGGATTCGCCACTATTCCCAGGCGAAGTGCAATTTTCAATAATTGTGGAACCTTTGTAAATAAGACAATGATCGTTTGGAAGTTTCTGTCAACTGTCGCCTCGTTGCTTGTATTCTTGACTTAATCTGGTGCAGTTTTCAACGTTAATATATGCAATTATCCATACGTTTTTACTGTGCCCATTACCAACTTACCACTGCACACCGAACTAACATAATTTGTGCCTCTTTTCATTGAATTTTGTTTTCAGGCAGTATCTCATGACGGCAAACTGTTGGCAACTTGTGATCGAGATGAAAAAATCCGTATCAGTCGCTTTCAGCAGCCATTTGTGATCGAAGCTTTCTGCCTGGGTCACAGTTGGTGAGTAGCCTTTGTTTAATCTGTCTAATCCACTTATAGCTTCATCTCGCAACTAGCTTTCCTTCCTCGATCATACCTTCTTGTATCCGCTGGCGGGGTGAGTATGCTGTGAAATTACAGACAATTTTCCTTTCTTGTTGGTCTTATGTTTAGCTTTGGTGACAGCCCATATTTGTGCTACTCTGCGACCATGTGTGAGGTGAACTTATAGATTTAATCATTTGGGAAGAAGCTAGCAACCGGACTCTGCGTGTTTGCTTGCTGATGGAATCTACATAGCCACCAAGGGCTCGCATGTAACAAATTTAGCCTACCACAAACCAAATGTGACCCTAACTCGTTGAACTTATCCAGCGGTCCAACCACTGTTGACCGGCGGATCCATCTCGGATGCCATGCTCCCCTCCTCGTTGAATTGCAAGTGCTTTCGATGCCGTTGCTTGTCGGGCACAGGAATGACATGTTAGGTATAAGTATCTAAGGGAAGGCCTTGAAACTTCTAAAAACGTTGCGCGGTAACTCCCAGCACGTGTCGATGGTAAGTTTTCAAGTAAGCTCATTTATAGGACTGTCGGATTAGTTAATCTGTTGCGTTTCATCTGGCTTGCTCACTGATGTGATCGTGCGACTGTATTGTGCTGATTTATCGGAGGGAACTCATTTTACACCAGCGTTCCTCAAACCGATTTGCCACGAACCCTTTCATCACCGGTGTAATTCGTAGATCGACAATTTAAGCGTACATTCACTGTGTAGTTGAGTTAGTGGTATTTGAGTAGTCAAAACCATCTCCTGCTCAGCGATCTGTCGCGATAAGTTATTCCGAGGGTTAACTGGATTGTGCTAACTAATCCGATGAAAATTTGGCCCAGGTGACTTCAAGCACAATGAATCGACCACGATAAGTCACCTTTTGGAATATTTACTACCGGATCCTGGTAACTCTGCCGTAAATGTACAACGGCAACTATCGGCCCGTCAGTGTTGACACTGATACTTCACAGCTGTTCAGGTTTAAAAAAATGCGGCGCAAATGACACGGCATTACCAGTTTTGTTGAGCGTCCTGGTGTGCATTTGCAGAATTTAAAATGCAACTGCTACCTTGAGCAGATTCAGGCGAAACCTCATGTCCACAAATGAATCAATCGACATTGTCGATAAATCCATGTACTTCGCTAACTGCATTGACTAATCTGGTATCCAGGCAATATCACTCTTTTTGTCAGGGATCCAGTCTCGATACTGCAATGTACTCTATAATTCGATTTGGATCATAGGCTTGGCCACTGTGAGCATAAGATGCCATTGAGTATCGGCGTCTTCAAACGTCGGATGGATAAGTGGAACCTGATTTACTCACGTCCTTCGGTTCGTTGCTCCATGAGACTGCATGGAAACTGTTTAGAATCGAGCCACGACCTAGCAGAAAAACGAAACTAACCAGCAATAGTTTTTGACGTTCTCTTTAGTGGGAACCGCGGGACGAGACACTAGTCGTTAAAAATAGATGTTGTATATGAGCAACTGCCCAGCCATCCACCACTGATTCCCTACTTTGACCAGTATATTATCATTATATGATTCGTTGTTCAACACTGCCCCAGATACACAGCCACTGCTTCCACACCCCTCCGTTTCTGTGTGAAGCCATTTCACAAGTCCATAGTTGGCGATGTCGGTTCTCCACCAAGGTTCCCTGTGTTTTTTGTAGTGATATCTTTAACCTCTTAATTTCCGTCAGCCCCTCTTATTCCTCTCCAGATTGATTCCTACTTTTTAACCCGGTACATGCTGGTCCGCAAGCGGCTTTCCATAGGCTGTTCTTTTTTCCTCTAGGATGGTTATCTGCGACTGTGGCAGTCAGAGACTGGAACGGAACTGTCTTGTATCCAACTAACCCTTGATGGGGAAACGAAAACGGTCGAAGATGAAGAGAACAGTTTATCCGTTGTTGACCCAGTTATTATTCACCGGTTGTTTATAGCAGAGACGGATATATGCGTATGCTCCTCGTCATCGTAAGTCCTGTCCCTTCCCTCGTAAGAGTTCTTGTAGCTTATGCTCAGGTTATGTGTCACAATGTACGGCCACCGATCGATATCGCGTCTGCTTTGCTTTCAGCTTTGATCTCACTTGTCTGAATATAATTGCAAAGACGACTTCGGAATATTTTTGCCAGGCTGGTCACTATCCTTTTTTATATTAATTTAACCGCATAAGCAGTTTTGTAACCTGTAAGGTAAGCTTTTCAGCTAGTCTTCCTGTAGACTGGACGTGTTTTCACAGGAGACTCACTTAAATTTACTTGCAGTTTGGGTTCAGATAGAACGCAAATTTGACGGGACTGCGTCTACCTGATAAGCCCCAAGGAAGGCTAAACTGGTCGTAGGGTGTTGGGGAGTTTTCAGCAAGCTTATAAGTGGTTCCCCATAGAATCTTTGGCATGGCTGTGTAAAACCCAAAGTGTGCAGCTTTGTTGTGCAAGAAACGTTCTCCTTTGAGGATTCATGATCTTCTCCGCCTTTCAGACACCCCGTTGCATTTGTTGTTCGAATCCATACCGGTCAGAGCAAGTTGGATCACTGGAGTACACCATCGCGCATACAAACTCCAGGGAATAGACCACTCTTGGACTCGGCTCTGTGTACAGTGGACAGCGGCAAAGATTATTCTCGGGTTATATTTATTGGTTTGACTTCAGAAAGCACGCCTCACCTCGTGTTTTGGTCCCTCAGTTCCTCGACACATTCCCCTGACTTATTTGATTGGAAAGAAGTGAGTGTTCTTCGCACTGTGGCATGCCTTTTCGGACTCTTCTTTTTAGTCCACCGAACTAAGTGCTTCGAGTGACCTCCGAATCTATTACACTTTTCCCCGTTTTCATTTGTCCTCCCAATTCTTCGATAAGGAACTTATTAATCTGGGCGTTTTCTACCAATAAATTAAAGCTTGATATGGTAGGACGTCTCTGATTTATTTTCAACCCATTGAGCTCTACTAAGGTCTATCAGTGTATATCAGCCTAATTATGTACCAGGTCCATAAACGGTCTAACCCATACAGTTTGAGGATAAGTATATGCATATGCGACCAGTATGTGCATGACCGGTCGTACCCGAAGTCGAACTTTTGAGCTAAAGAGTTTCGTTGAGGACCTGCGTATGCCCAGGCGCCTTGGTGGTTTTCCAAGTTTACAACTATGAACCAGTTGACAGAAAATCACCTTATCCCACGTCGTTGCAATGGGGAACCGTCGTCGTCCCACGCTGGCGATACTGTCACAACTAGATAGGTGCTATTACCGCGTTTCACTCACTGCTGACTGTAATATGATTTTGCGGTTAGTGAATATTCCAGGATCAGGGTTCCTTCCTGTGGTAGCTCGAAGTGGTTTGGAGGTCTGGATTTCGTCGGTTTTGACCGTGTTTTCAATCAGCCCGTTCATTCGCAGTATTTCCATCGGATATCATCCGTCAGCACCGATCGCTTTGTTAGACTGAGTGCTTGTGAGCGAGCCTGTCAAGAGTTGGATCACCAGCATCCTTATTCGCCGATGACCACGTTGCAACAAATCACTTGTCTCATACGATCCTAGTCGTCACTCACTTGGATTAGTTGAAGACGAGCGAAACTATTCAACTCAGATCGCGACGCTTTCGGAGCAGTTGATTGATTATTACAGACGTCTTTCGTTCTTGAATGACCCCTGTTGGAATTACATCCTGACCTGGTAACTTTACCATTTTCCGCTGACCGAAAATAAATGAGGTCATTCTCCTTTCTTTGAAAAGCAAAACTGTGGAAGGGAGTATGCTGTCTCGTCCACGTCTTATTTCGGAATGCTGCCCTTTAAGTCCATTCCTGCACCTATTTTTTGCCAGTCGTCATCATCATCATTGATAGTACTATCAAGCGAGAGCGCTGGTGTTTCACTGCCGTAAAGCCACACCAATTCGCTTGAATAAAGCCTTAGATTGGAAAGAAGAAAAAGGAATAAAGCAGAGCTAATATACAACAAACATACCAGCTGCATACACCATATGGGTAGCAACTGACAGTGTAAACGTCACTGACAATGGTTGGCCTCCCTGTCATCCCCAGCCAAGCACAGAAAGGGTCGTGTGTGGACTCCGCCCCGGGAGGCAAACAGCACTAACGAAATCCAAGCTTCTCGTGGTTCCCTTCCGCCATGTAAAGTTTTTAGTACTTCTGGCTTTCCGCCACTCCGAATAAGGCACAGACAACAGCGTTCATCTCGGTAGGCGGTAATTCGGCATACGTAAAAAGTGGCCCAGCCACCTCGGCTTGCAATGCTGGATGCATTCTATGGACGAAGCACCGTCTGCTTCCCTAAAGTTTGGATGTCAACCCTCATCACAAAACATTATGTAATTCTGTATCACTTCAATGTTTTCCATGACTCGGCAGTGTTTTTCTGGCATTATACACGATGTTCTACGCAAGAAAACCTTGGTGTTTCCAACGCTGACTGAATATAGTTTGTCCCGCTTTGTTTCCGCTTCAGTTGCAAGTTGTCGATCCCATCCCGGAATCTCTACTGAAACTACCCGGTAAGTGTACTGTTAGCAACTTGCATCCAACTGCATATAAAGTGCCGTAAAAGCCACCCCTTATGTGGACTAGCCTTTCTCGAAGGTGGCCGTTTCCCCTAAATTTTTAGTAGTTCCCAAGTAAGTCGGGCCTACTAGCTCGTACTCTATCCGTAAGATAGCCACATGTGATTTGTCTATTCACAATGTTGTCAAGTATTCACAGTTCAGGTGCACCACCTGGCTGTCGTTCACCCAGCTTGCCAATTGCGTGGCACAATTTTCGTCAACAATCAAGTAAACATCGTCAGTACGCGGTTGTGTGGGTATTTCTTTCCCGTCTGCTTGCGTTCCCATACTCTCTAGAGACTGATTTCTCCGTTGGCTGGTTACTTGCAGGGTGAATTTCATGTAATTTGACTGGCCCATCTGGAATCTGAGCTGTGTTGTCTTGTTTCCTTGGGCCTGTTTGGTACGCTGGATAGCCTTAGTTCAACAGTTCGGTTCCTCTGTTCTGATTGTCCCATTACCTTGTCGCAGTGTGGTCTGTTCTTCCTATCTGTTTGGTTGAATGAGCACCCATTTATCTTTTGCTTCGATTAGGAATAACCCAAAGGGACGCGAATCTCGGAACTCGTAACAGTACAAAACTAGAGTACATTGTACTCCTAGAAATCAGCCCAAAAATATGGGTTTTATATGTGGATGACAGTCGCTGTTATAATGCGTAAACTGTCACGAACGAATCAATCGCTGAACGTGTTCACTGACATCCATATTTCCGATGGAAATGCGCTCCTAGACTTATTGGTCACTAGGACAACAAACAGCCAGCTGCAAACCGAAGTATACACCAAGGAAACACACATGGATCAGATCCGAACTACCGGGGTGACTACTCGAACTACCACAAACAAATAGCATCCTAAATTTATTCAGTTGAATCGAGGTGATGATGTCCATAATACAATTCAGAAGGTATATGCACTAATAAAGGTTTTTAGTATAGTTGACAATGGTAAGATGCCACACGCATAAAAATAAATACAATGCAAAACGGAAGCAAGTGAAAAGAGGAACTTATCGTCTGTGAGAGTTCCTTGGTGAAAGTCCGGACGGCGGGAACGTGTTTTCTCCGCAGCATGGCTGCTACACGTGTTCCATAATTGACCGTGGACTTGTGGAGAGTGGTTGACTTATTGCTCTCTGCGCGCGCGAGTGTGTGTGTTGGACGAGTTGAATGCCTATTTATTGTGTGCAGTGTGAAGAGCTGGGTGTACCTTCGTGTTTGATACTTGCACGAACATGAATACAACTTGACCTGATGTGGTTGAAGCTCGTATGCGTTCATAGCGCGTGACGCAAGTGGTAGCCGAGTGAGCAAAAATGAGTGAGAAGTTGTAGTATACAGGTTGTCGGCTAAGTTTGCATGTTGGACACGTGGTTTGAGTGTTTGTGACGCGTGATCTGATGAGTGACCTCCACAAACTACAACTCAACAGAGTCGAAGAGGGTTATTCCAAAATAATAGCTACCTAAGAAATGTCATATGAGCATACTTGTGAAACCAAGGCAAGGCTACTCTATCGACACAACCGGTAAACGGAGCGACTGCGCTTCGATGCTTCAAAAACATCACCGAAATGATTGCATGGCTGTATTGAATAGCAGTTACCCTCAAACCTAGTCATGAGGAAAACCCTTCAGGCCAGGTGGAAGACTGAATTCAGTAAAAACAAAAACTAACATCTACAAACTTTATTGTAGCTACTGGGACAACTACTATTCTAATTAATACTGAACTTCACTAAAAAACTGTGTGGGAAGGTAAACAGCAGGACGATACCAGCTAGACCTATCAATAGGGGGAAAGAAAACTACCATAACAAACCAAATAGGGGGACAAATAGACAACAATGCAGAATTACTTGGGTTATTCAATGCTCTTCGCATTTTTGTGGGGGCAGATCCAACAACAGCTGCGTCTTCTGCGTACTGTGTATCCGTGAGGTAACGCTCTAGATACATTTCAGCCCCGCAATTGTCAGAACCTAAGAAGTAGTCTTCCTTGATCATATCGATGGCAAAGTGGAAGAGAAACTGGGGCACAAGGTGAGCCTATTTGACACTAGTGAACTTAGTGAGCTCAAGTGTGAGGTTGCCGTAGGTTGCCGTACGGTAGGTGGCGCTTTAAGGAAAACCAATAATTCAGAGAGATGTCTTTGCTCCCTATACATTGCAATACTGTCCGGCGTTCAGCAGAAGTGAAAGAGCTTTCAAGTTAGGAAAGGCGACCACTTTTTGTTACTGGAACCCGTATTGCTGTCCCAGAATCTGCTGGACAGAACCTAGCAGGATATCCAGGGGTCTATCTCACTCTCTGTGTTCAGCCTGCGTGTGAAAAACAAGAGCAGAAAACATACTGGATGTCACAGCTGCCCGACCAATGGTATTTACGCGGTGTTGACGTATCAACTGTAAAGACAAGCTTTCACTGGCCACAAGGACTGTCAATCTTCCCTTGGATTTTTCACTGGTTGATATTTTAGGGGTCTGTGTGTGCTATCATACTCATTGCCTCCCTAAATGGAATTTTCATTATCAATCAGGATTAATGATCTAAACTAATCCAGCGGTCGTTTTCTCGTTTCGAGGAAGCCAGACAAAGCACTGCGAACATGACTTTTGCATTTTCTTACGTATTATCGACGTGCTTGTTACCAGTATTGTGCCGTTTCACTTCAGAATAATTGAGCTAGCTCAGATCGATACTGATGAACTGTGGTAGTTCTCCGGAGTCGCGAAAACCTGAGAAGAATCGAATTGACACTATGACGTGATCGGAATCAAGTAAGGTGCCCCAAAAGGAACGGCAGTTTCACCTTTGATGGCTGGTACTCATGTGTTTCAAATGAGTCCTTGGTTGAAATGCCTTTGCTGGCCGCCAGGTTGCACAGATTTTTGGCGTTTTGTTAATAATTCGTACTACGCACAACTAGAAGAGTCGCTCTTCGTTGTCATTGCGGAGTGCACTTCGAGCGAGCAATGCCAATGGATGTCGCGTTATCCAATTGGGGAACGACCTGGTGAATATATTAGTGGGTTGGATTGGATACATCAGCCACATAGCTGGAGGTCATGTGATTCAAGAATATTTTCTCGTATGATCGGAAGGAGTTGGGGAGTAAGATCGATCAACAGGTGACTATGAGGGCAAACGACTCCTTCCGTTTGCCCAGGTATCCTACTTTGAGCTCGTGACTCAGGAATCCAACCCGAAAGGCAGCGGAAGGAGAAAGGGTCTTGTTTGAGGCCCTCCTTTTACCTCTGACTTTGAGGCGTTCTCTGCAAGGCAGTGGATGGTAGAATTCTCCCAGAGGACTGTCTGGAGTGGAGGACCTGATTGTTGAGTCCTCTTAGCTTCATGGGACTGGCTTAGCCGGAAGGCGAGGGATTAAGGTGTAGATGCTGCTTCACATGGCGCTTACAGCTGTATTGGGCTCTCTGTAGGCTTCTGACATCATTGTAGAGGTTCCCGGCGGTCACATTCAACCTTTGGGCGACCGTAGGGTTCGGTTTTCAGGGTCAAGTTTTTTTGACCCATCCTCCCTCGAAAACCTGCATCACCCGTGCCACGTAAAGATGGTATTCGTCTGGAGGAAAACCTTACTACGACCTTACATTCAGACTACCTTGCAGTTGGGATTAGGCGTACCAAGTCATCTCACTGATCTTTATCTGTTACTTTTTTAAACTCCCAGCCTGATTGCATTGTATGGAACACAGTTTCAGTCATTGTGACGCGCGCAATCGTTGCAATACTCAAGTCCAACCGTTAAGCTGGCAGCTTTTGACTGGGCTCATTACTTGTTAATAATATAGCCTGGGGCTTCTAGTTAGATGAGTAGCGTGGAATTACTTCTGTCTGTTCCCACTCCGTTTTCTAGTTTGCACTATGGTTGTCTAAGTCGGTTGCGATTCTGTGTACTGGAAATTCCTCTTCGACTGCGTGAAGGTTCCCTTCAGTTCACTTTATTTTCCATTAGCTGCATTTATGATAGTAAATGAACTGTGTCTAACACCACCGTTGTTGCGTTATTTGACAGATCCGATACCACGTTTAGAGCTGCTCAGAAGCTTGGCAAAACGGGAAGCTGATCGATCTATGATTGAAACTTACGAGGAGAATAAACGAATCCGTCACCAAAATGTATCGGATCGTCGCCTCCGGCATCAACAGAAACGGCAAGCCAAGAAGCACCAAAAGCAGTCCGTCTCTCCCGGGCATTGTGCCCTTGGAGTAACTTCAGATATTGTATAATATACACTTTCAGCTGCACTTTGGCTACATTCTTGGACCTCCACTCGATTTTTTAGTTGCCCCAGTTCTCTCGGTCAGAAGGACCAGTAACAGCAAGGAAAATAATTTGAATAATCTAACTAAATACGCCGCACCCTTTGGTATGGTCTTCACACATGTGGAATGAAGAGTACTGCCACAATTGGGTTGGATCAAACCCAAACCTTATACGTGTTAGATAAATTTGTGTACCTGGGCAGTTGTTTAACTTCCGGTGTACTACCTGGAGAAGGCCGAAAGGCCAGTACAGATTTTTCCAAACCAATGGCGGCGGCGTGACGTCAGTTTGTTTGTCAAGGTGTAACCCTTTCTGCCTTATGAATCAGAAACATTGTCTCTACTCGCCTGGGTGTCTCCGAAGCATTGGTCGGGTAAGAGTATCAGATTAACAATTTTGGGATACGCTAGATGGTTTTAGGGAGAAGAAACGACCAATGATTTACTCACTTCGTAAGTTGCCCTGGTTGGGACATGTACTATGCATGCTATCCCCTTCAGTGCGTAGCTACTTAGTCCCCGAACTAACTGAGTGTGCCATCGCCTCCAATACTTGGCTGTATCTCCCACGCTCTCCTACTTGTCGGTGGGAGAGCTGGGACCAATGTATCCTGCTCAATGTTTTATAGCGGATAAACTGAGACATCGTTTAAGCCCTGAGACCCAAACATGCGGGTGGCATAACCGCGTCATTTGAACTGGCTACCGAATCAGACGATCACATGACGTTCGTAGCACATAATCGATTCAAGTTATGTAAGGCTAAAAGCAACGAAAGAGAGTAATTACAACTGAATGCCCGCCAAAACCTTGTGGGAGTGTTCCAAATTTGTCCTGGAAAGCTGTGGAATCTATACAATTCAGATTTACCCTTTTTGAAGAGCACCTGGTGGACTTGTGCCTGTTAGTTCATACTAAATGGGAAAAGCATATTCGACCTCATTAGAGCTCGTCTGGTTGCATCCATCGATTGACTTACCCCTCAGGACTTCTCAACTAGGTAGTCACACGGTAGCTTGTATCCTACTGAACACTTCGATTGCAGTATTTGCCTAGAGATGTCCAACAGACCTCAAGTGTCCGTAGCGATACTTAAAAGGTGGATTAGGACGGTTACAGGAACAAACTGAAAATTCGTCAAATGTGATCACATTTAGCCGTTCAGACGTGATAATTTCGGTGCGTCTTTAGTTCGCTGATGGATTAGTTATATACATCGGCCTCATATTTCATACGTCCGGAGTTCAACTTCTGATACAGCTGAGGATATGAACTGCTGATGGGCTCTCTTTACAGCGAAACTCGCGTTCAGTGCTTTTTTCTTTGGTGTAACTGTACATGGGCAGAAGTGCTGTCCAAACAAGATTCGTGTGGACGCAACTGCTCTAGTTTTGTCAAGTTGGTGCTCTCCTTGCGGCAAAAGAGTGATCCCTATCTTATGGATATAGACCACATGGAGTAAAAAGTGTACCTCCCTCTGACAGCTGCTGTTTCTCAGTTTGACCTAAGTTTTCGTTTCTGTCTGATTGTCGGAAGTAGTCGGAATAATGATTCATGTGTATCTAATCCGGGTTGTGAACATACTTAGGGTTAATGCGACACCTGTTGTCCGAGCAATAAAGGTTGACTATCGTCCGAAGCACAGACCGTTGAGGGGTTCGTGGAAACAGGTAGCAAAAGAGGTGCACTGTACCGATGCTTGGCAAAATGCTGTGCATTAAAAGTGACACGGTGAACATACAACCTGGACACTTCGAATTAATGGTAGCTTCTAGTTTCTTGCTTTTCGGAATCACCATTACGAACTTTTCCGTCCTTTTGTTTATTGTTACGGCTGTATTATGTTCTTTAATCTGACCCAACTGTTAACCGCTGTTTAACCTTCTCAAATCTGTTGATTGCTTTTTGCCTTCAACCCCGAAGTGTTTGTCCCGTGAGCTTTGCGTTTTCCCGGTTAGTTGTAGAGATGTGGTAGGATTTTTGTTTTCCAAATTCTTCACAAATGGCCTTTCTGGACCCAGTACTGCTTGACTCAATATACAAAACCCCCATACCTCATTGCTTGACGTTTCTAGCCCTTTCCCACTGTTATTATTCCATTTACCCGGTTTGTAGCTAAACCTTCCGGATGTAAAGCTCGCTGGGCTTTAGTGCGTTTCCCCTCTGATCGTGTACACAATCAACAGTACTCAAATCTCTAATAATGCGTGGATCGTTGACATCTACTCATTCACGCCAAGGTGATTTGAACGCGAAGTAGAGTGCCATTTCATATTCTGACGCGCTGTCCTGGTGGTTCTCAAAGAGAACTAAAGGAGTATATAGTGCTGCTCAGCTGTTTAGCATAGACTGACTTTACTTGCATGACGAAATCCCAATTCGAATTCCCCATGTTGTCAGCCATTCCCACACGTTCCGGACTTTGGACTCGATACTGTGTTCAGTAATAATTGATGAAGTCGCTGAACTTGATTCCCGTTCTTCGTATATTCCTTCACTAGGCGGGCACCTCTTCAATGGAGCTTTACTGGCAGTATAAGGTTCAGCAGGTATACAGGTAGAAACTCAGATAGAGCTAATTTGAAAAGCGGGATATTATAAAGGGTTTGAGACAGAATTGTAGCAATAGAGAATAACAGATTGACGTATCTGAAGCAAAGTCCCTCGTTGGAGAATCTTCTGTCGATGAATAGGAGGGATTTCTCATCTAGTCGCCACGTAGTTCATGCATTTCTTCGAAAAAATTAGTTGAGGCGAAATAAATTCTTCACCCATGGTCGGTCTGAAAAAGTCGCATTACCAGGGATCGAACTGCGGTTGTTTTAGGTCACTGATCATGGCGCGCGCAACCACGTTACCGAAAGTAGAAATGAATGTTTATATGTTGGAAATCCGCAAACATATTTCAGCTTTATGTCGTTGTTAGACTGGCGATAATCACGTGTTGATGTACCTCCTTTGCTATAGTTCCGAAAAGATTAACATGGCCATCCATTATGCAATCTATCAGAAGGTTAGGTCGTTCAAAAGTTGTAGACCATCCGTTCCTGGATGGACGTTTTACGTTTTTGGCGAAATGGACGCATCACAAGAATTGATTTGAATGATGGTGATTCAGTCGGAGTCGAATTTTAACAGTTCATCGAATCTCTTCAGAACTAGGCTGAGACGGAGGGTGATGTAATTTGTTCGGGATCAAAACCAGAATTTGACCATCGTAGCTCTTCTTGAGAGATCTTGTTCTGTAGCCCCTTTTGCCGTGAGGAAGTATCAAATGTTCCTCAGATAGACAGAGCTATACTATGGAACTAAATTGGTCGGGCAGCTCGTATGCGGGTTGTAACTGAAAATGATCACAGTAAGCATATTCCTGACTTCATAATATTTTCGATGTCGCCTCACTGTTAAGAGTGAGAAGCCTAGTATTATGCCTCGGGTAGTCCTAACCTTACCGCCAAGCCTTCCTGAGGGCCGCAACTCCACATGTTGCATTGCCTGAACTGTGACCTCACTCAACGAGCAGACTACTTTCACCGATTTTGCATGTGCTGCTTGTTTCATTCCACCAAGAAAGTGAGATTGACACAAGAGGTTTCCAAAGGCTGGACAGAGTATGCAGTTATTCGATAATAGGCTGTGCACAAAACCTTTTTAAGATATACTTCAGAGACGAGAGCAAATGCGGCATCAATCAACTGCGGGTCTTAATTGGTGTCCTGTCAATATCTGTAGGACCTGTCAGAGTATAAATCCATTCCCATAATAAATAGCAGCGCGACCAGTCCGAAAATAGTTCAAGCAAATTTTGATTAGGTAGAATGCGAACTAATGCCGGAGCGCTGATAGAGTTGGCATTTTCGCTCGTGTCCCTCAGAGTGACTTGTCTCTGGATTTTTCTTTCTTGTACAAATAGGAAACCTCAATTTCCGGTTTCAACGAAAATGTGAGAGGAAAACCACCGTTGTGTAATTCGGTCTCAAGGTTACGACAAACCTTAGACGTTCATCCTAAATTTCTGGGGATTCATGGCGCACTGGATGCAAGCTTTTGTATAAAAACGTAGCAGCTCTTGGGCTATTTTCGAGACTCTAAGATCATCATCTTACATTATCCTCAATTAAATATAATTGGTCTGAACTGTCTTTGTGATGCGCAATTAAACTTCAACCGTATTTTTGTGGATGTCACTCAGAGAGCTTCCTGGGTTCCCTGATGGCGGTAATGTTATTTTTGGAATAATTCGAGAGAGTTTTATTATTTAACCACAAAAGTTGTTCTTTCTCCATCAGAAAGTTGGGTCAATTGTTAGCTGAATTAGTGAAAAACGTGGTATATTTTGTGCTGTATTTTTGGTGCTCGGTTCATATATCGTTTCTGTCATGCGGATGGCCTGATCACTAGGGTTTTCGATGCATCAAGATATGAATGCATTTACGCTGCATTTTGGTGGTTCCGAACTAACTGAAACATAATTCCGATGCCCAATTGGTGAAACGCGTCTCAAATAAATTTGAGGACACCGTTGTCACCCAACTTTTTGAAGCACAGTTTGGGAGACTTTAATTGACATCGAGATAATAAATGTCTCACTAGCTGATTGAGTAAATGAATTTGAATACTCGTCGATGGGCGTTATACCGGTTGTTCTCGGCTTTTTCCATTTTCGAACCAACACCAGCCTCTTGCAACGAATTACGTTATCGCATCGACAGTGTACGACGTTACTTTGCTGTAGAGTGAAAAGTACTCCATGGTCCAGACCAAACATCGCAACTTCCGTCGAAGTTGTTGAGCTGCAGAAGTCTGTCGCTCTCCATCGTTTCACGCCCGTTAGAATTTGGCTTGGTTGTCATTGCTGACGTTTTTGGTTTCATCGCTTCCCCTTTCATCCTGCTTGCTCCCAATACTTACGTAACTACGCACCATTCGAACCTATTCTGTGCTGAAACTCTAAATCACTACGAGACCCAGGAATCC